TGACTGAGCAACCCAGGCACCCCACTTTTCCCATTCATTTAACGAACTTACATAACGCTTCCTAAGCGTTTCTAAGCAATTCTTTAATATTTATTTAACACCATGACTTAAGGACTATTTTTATCCTTGCTTTTCAGATAAGAAAGTTGGAGTATTTATGGGTTGAGCCACTGAGCAAGTCACTTAATAACTCTGAACCTCCATTTTCCAATTGTGAAATTGGGATAATAATACTCATTCAGAGACTGATTTCTAATTATGAACTAATTTTTTATGTCTAATATATTAGACATTCGTAGGAAATGCTTATAATCAGTAATATTGTATCACTTATGTTGCCCATTGGGGATAAGAACAAGCAGATATAAGAAACTTTATCTTTAAAATGAAATATCTGGGGTGCCTGGGTGGCTCAGTCATTAAGTGTCTGCCTCTGGCTCAGGTCATGATCCCAGGGTCCTGGGATCGAGCCCCGCATTGAGCTCCACATCAGGCTCCCTGCTCAGCAGGAGGCCTGCTTCTCCCTCTCCCACTCCCCCTGCTTGTGTTCGCTCTCTCACTGTGTCTCTCTCTGTCAAATAAATAAATAAAATCTTAAAAAACAAAACAAAACATGACAACGATCTCTAAAATATGTATAATACTTAAATGAGAACTAAAATATTTCCACCCCGTTGATTCATTCAAATTCTAAAATTCCGTCATGTGAAGATACTAACACCAAGATGAGAACACCACACTAACACAAAGGCTCAGCTTTAATAACATTGAAAAGCTTTTGGAAAATACAATCGGAGATAGTTGGTCCTATACATAAATCTGCCTAGGGTGGTTTATACTCATAGGATTATAAAAGTTGCAGCAAATTTATTATTTAGAATCTACAAGTGTTAGCTTTTATTATTGTAGGTGACCTTGAAAGAAGGGCTTGGAAAGAGCACTGTATTTCTAGGCGAGCCGCGCTTACATCTGGATTTCTGTAGTCATCACTTCCTTGTCTATATGAGCGTTGATGATCTATGTTGTACTCTCTTCACAAACATATTTCAACAATTGGCAAACTGACCGAGAGTTCGGTTGTTAAACTTTGAGATCATATTGGGCACGATCAAAGTTTTTAGGGAAGAGTTTTAATCTGTTTTTACAAAGAAATGTGAAGAAAATATTCTACAGTCTTAAAGTTCCTTTCAAAGCGAAGAACCCTTGAGTGCTTTTGAAATGTAAAATATGGCTGTAAGAAGGGTTGTTCATCTTTAGATCCATTTGTATCTGGGAATGATGTGAAAACAGCTCAGTAGCCCATCTTTCTGTTCTCACTGTCACCGCCCTGTGTATCTCCCCAACACCTCTTGCTGAGTTATGACAACTGGCTGCTCAGACTTTCCATAACTCTAGTTTCTTACCATCGCTATCCATCCAGGAAGATGCCAGAAGGATTCTCCTCTGATACTGCTTTCATAATGCTTTTGCCTCGAGTGAAAACAGCCAGCGGTTTCTTTGAATCCATCATATCAAGCCCCTAGTCCTTTTATTGGTTTTTGAAGCCTTTGGTCAAATCTTCCAACTTAAAATAACCAACCTGTTTTGTAAACGCTCTCCAATATGCCTTTTCTTTCCCTCTCTGTTTGTCCAAATCAAGACCATCTTTCAGGCCCTGCCTCCAGCCCTACGTTTTCCACTAGGTTTTATAGACTACCCAAACCAGATTACTCTACCAACTTTCAAGTAGGAATTCCTACTGGGTTCATTGGTCAGTAAAACTGAGTTTAGCATTTCTCCTGGTCTCTAATTGCTTCATATCTTACTCTAATTGTTTCATACCTATTTATGTTTTCTCTGTGGTTTATAAGCTTCTGAAGGACAGTGACTACATCTTATCAGTCATTTGAGCACTTTCAAACATTTAGATCACAGTAAATAAAATGTACACACTGCCCTCTTTAATACCCATCACAAGGCTAACCCATCCTCTCACCCCGCTCCCCTCTTGAACCCTCAGTTTGTTTTTCAGAGTCTATCGTCTCTCATGGTTTGTCTCCCCCTCCGATTTCCCCCCCTTCATTCTTCCCCTCCTGCTATCTTCTTCTTCTCTCTTTTCTTTTTTTTTTTTTAACATATATTGTATTATTTGTTTCAGAGGTACAGATCTGTGATTCTGCACGGAGCACTGGGTGTTATACACAAACAATGAATCATGGAACACTACATCAAAAACTAATGATGTAATGTATGGTGATTAACATAACAATAAAAAAATTTAAAAAATAAATTAAAAATGTACACGCTGATGAATGGCATTCTAGACACATACTTCAAAAGAAGAATTGAAGAGGCTCCTTGTTTCTCAAAGGAATTAGTAGACTCCTATGAAGTCAGCCCTGCCAACCCAACTTTATTAGATTTCTATTGCAACTTTACAGTATATCAAACTCTGGCTCCTAGACTCCAGCCAGAGATCCCAGCCTTAAAAGAGGATTCTTACAATAAATTTAATCTCTGAAATTACTTTCTCCAAGACCACATTGGCTTAAAAAATGGGTTTAATATACATTTAATGTTGGAATCAACATTAACTAGACCTATGCTGTCCAATCTAGCAGCCACTAGGAACATGTAGCTACCTTCAATGTAAAATAATTCAAATATAATAAAATAAAAATTAGTTCTTCAGTCACTCCAGCCACATTTAAAGTGCTCAATAGCCAATGAATACTGCTATTGGACGGCATGGCTAACAGAAAAGCCGTTATCACAGAAAGTTCTATTGGACTGCGCTAAAGCCCATCCAAAGCCTCACCAAGAATTGGATTATTTGTTGGAGTAGCTTTTTACATAACAGCATAAAATGGTAGGGACAGTACTGGGAGTAGGCATAGTGGATGTCCACCTCAGAATGTGGTCTGGGAGGTATGGGGAAGGCTCACCATCCTACAAAATATCCTGCTAGATGCACCTTGCCAAGAACCAGAATGGCAAATTAGAGCTTCACCCCTTAGCGTAGGCCAAACAGGGCCCCTCTGCTTTGCACAGTGTTAAAAATTCCAAAGGAAATACCACATTGAAGGGAAAATACCTAAAGTCCAGTTTTTGACATTGGGTTGGGTGGGGAAAGCATAAAGAAATCTGGATGAGGAGAAGCTCCGGATAGGGCAAGAGGAGAGCACAGTGGAGGAAGGACCTAGAAAGTGGTGCATTTCATGCTGTGACTAGGTCCAGTTCTGAGCATGCCATTTGAGGATGGAGTAACTGTCATTTTGGCAACTCTGGGGAAATCCTTGAGGCATATATGTTGAAGTTGCACACAATGTATGTATGCACATATACACTGAAGAAGCATCTCTTAACGAGTGAGTGGTATATCGAGATGGTCCTCAGAATGCTAAGAAGGCAAATTATATAAAGGAGAAAAGAGTTTTGAGACTTGAATTACAGAAGTGAATATCTCATTATCCCTTCTATGGCCCCGCTCCATTCACACTATGAGAAAGCTTAGAGGACAACTTGGTAGTGTATACAGTGTATGTGTTCTTCTTCACCTTCTTAGCAAACAGGTGGTGCTTATAAAGGCGTCACCTGGATGCCTCATTGACTCCAGAACTGGGTCTGAAGGCCTAGCCCCAAAGAGGAATAGACACGTGACTTTTCAAGGTGACTACTTTGAAGTACAGCATGATTCAGATTTACGAATTTAGCCTATTCATTTAAAATTCCATGTCCTATTTTATGAAGCCATAGTTCGTATTCTTAGGGCAAATCTATACAGGTAGAATAAAAAATCAAGGCAATAGTTTTCTGCCACCGTGAGTGCTATGAATGAGTTCTCTCTTGGCCACTGAGCTAGCTGCCAATTCTTAGGGGAATCTGGACACTGTCATGGCATGAGGCTCTGGGTTTCATTCTCGAAAAGTGACTTTAGGGTTTCTTTGACCCTCCCTCCCCAACCCCCACCCTTCACATTCATGATTAATAGGAAAACCTTCTTGTAAAGACACTCAAGTTAGAGATACATCCCCAAATGATTTTGATTAGTGATAATGTGAATGCTGCCTAGCAGAAGCCATATAAGATGAGCAAGTTAATCAATTTGTTCATCGTGAGCACGACAGCACTGTTCAGTGACTTACCAAAATGACAATTGAGTTACATGTACTGTTAAGTGATTGAACAACGGAAACCAAAGAGTGCTAATTAAAAGTCACTGTTAACCTCAGGGAGAGTTTGATGACAAGGTAAAGAGTTCTGTCCTTGGCCATATACTGCTGAAACTATTTTTCACTACTTGAGATATAGACAGAGAAATGACTAAGGTTTTAGATGACACACGAACCAGAAGGAAAGATTTCATGATAAGTCAATGTTTCTCAAACACGGGATGCTTGCTAAAAATACAGATCCCTGGACTTCTGGGTAGAGGGCTGGAAATTTAATGTTTGCTGGTTTTTCTGGATGATACACATTCCCACTAACTTTGAGAAGTACAGAACACTTGAAGATTCATGGGGACAATGGATCCAATAGATTGAAACACTTTAATGGAGATAAATTTTGGTCACTAGAATTGTACCTCCAAAATACAAATGAAGATGTTTTCTTACCTTCCTATCCTGTAATCTGTGGAAAATGGGGGAGAAATCCGGTGAACAGCAGTTCCTATTCAGAAGATGTGAGGGTCTTGCTTGTGGCCCCTTTAAAGATAACTTTTTATCTGAAAGCTGGTAAGACAGTTCAACTTTATGACAGGGCCTTCAGTGTCAAATAGGGTTTAGAACTTTGGGTTAGACGTATGAGTGATCAAACAGGTAATTAATTGATTTTGCCTTGAAGTCAACAGAAGACAGAAAATTACTTTAGGAACGTATGGAGAATGTTTTCCCTAGCTAAAAACTTATGCTTAGTTTCTGAATCCTGCGTTACTACAATGTAAAGCTTCTCCCATGAAAGTCGACCTTACCCTCACTACGTCCCTCGCTCCCCACCACAAATCAGTAACAGATTCTTACCACAGAAATGGAGTTAGTAAGCAGTGCTCCATCCTGTCCCAGCAAATTGGAGACGGTGATTTCAGGTAGGTCCATGTTTTGTGGATGAAATGGTAGCAGGCCATTATGGTTCATTGGGTGACACAGAGAGTGGTAACCAGGTTCAACTTCATTCACGTGCACCAGTGAGTGGTCAGGGAGAGAAGGAGGGGTGATTGGTGGAATGTTGAAGTCTTCACTTTCCAGGCTTGGACCAGGGTAAGACTGAAAAGACAAGGGATATTGTTGCAAATTATCATTCCCCTTCTTCTTCATCACCGTGAACAAATACACACGACCCCTTCAGATGTGATTACAAGCAGCCTTATGGATTTGGCAAACACATTTCAAACATGCAGATTACCCTGCTGTCATTTCACTAATATGCACGGAAGAAAATTCCCTCAAAGGCATATCCACTCCTTGTATAAAGAGTACTTCCATTAGGCAGTTTTATTTTTCCAAGAAACTGAACTCAAACAGATTTCAAAGGTCCCATTAAAATTTTCCAGAGTTTTAATCTAGCTGAATACCTTTTTCATGGGAATTGTGGGGAAAGAAGGCAATTTATAAAATTAATGTTTAATCAAACATGTTTCATAGGACTCCCTACTGCTCAGATCATGAGACATAATAAAATGAATTCCAGAAGTTCTGGGGGCAATTGCTTTTGAGTTTTGAAACGTTGCATGCTCACAACTGACAAAAGAAAAATAATTAGTAAAGACACAACTTAGGCATGTTGCATAACTGTGGTTGTATAGGAAGTTTGATATATGAAAAAAAAAAACCATTAAAAGCTATTTTTATCATGAAGATTATACCATCAAAATAAAATGAAGATTGTTTTCTTGATTTCTGACTATTCTCATTTATTTGATTTTCCTCTAAAAGCTGCTAAATAATATTGCAGCCATTTTGATTCAGTTCAGCTACTTTGAAAGGCAATAGCACACTGACATTATCATAATACTAATTTAGGAATAAAAGTCAAACAGTAAAATAAATAACAACATATGAGGGCCTTTTCCTTTTGGAAAGTAGCTTTAGATAAAAAAAGGAAGGGAGGAGCAAAAAAGGAAGGAAAGATTATATGAGGACACTCCTGTTTAAAATGGAAGGTGGTAAACATTGAAACTATGAGGAGGGACCAGATAATAAAATATTGTTCCCAATTAAGATAGAGGCATAGCGATATCTAGCAGTCCTTTATAGAGCAGGTGTTATAATAAAAAGGAAACAATTTGGGTCCTGATCACTCTTGCAAGCCTATCTTTCAAATTAAGCATGTCTTCCTAGTATTTGAGTGCACGGGTAACAGGACTTGCTTGTCTAACAGCACAGAGCCTGCTGAAGTGTGCAAGATTTGAAATGAGCAGGCAGAGGGTAGGAGCCAAAGAAAGTAGTGTAAGGTATTCATTGGGTGTTCAGCCAATAAGCTTCATGCTCCTGCATCCAAGCGCCTGGGGTTATTTTTTCCAGATGGCGTCTATTTGTCTAACAGAAAGAAAATCTTCAAGTTGCACTTGCTAAATGTTGTACAAGTTTTGATATATTTGTTTAGGTGCTGTCAGGAGACATGATGAAATGAAGCACTACTGGGAACATCTGGAATTGAGACTTGGTCACGTAGAGGCACGTGTGGGTTAGTGACTGGGGGTAGGTGAAGGAAAAGATTTGATTCATCTCTGCAGATCATTGTTCTTTAATATCTAGAGTTCTGCTAACAAAACCACCAGCTCTAAAAGTTCAATCATCTGGTACCAAATTTTCCTGTTTATAGTTTAGATCTCTTGTCTGAAAAATATATTCGTGGTCCGTATCAAATCCTAAGTTTGATTAAATTCTCATTTGTTTGGTATATTTTAGACCTTGAGTCTATAGAGGTAAACCATCAGTTCCTGGTACAAGTATTGATTTAAGAAGAAGCATAAAAGATTCGAAGTGGGGAGGTGGGAGAGAGAGGAAGCACATGTATTAATGCTGGTTTTGTTAAAAGCGCTGCATTGAGTCCTTGACTATGTGGTCTTCACTTAATCCTTAACAATAATCCTGTGTGTGGCTATCATTATCCTGTTTTCCTGAAGAGAAAATGGAGACTCAGAACTTAAGTCACTTTGACTCAGCTGGTAAATAATCAGCTCAGTATATATGAGAGATGGACACATGCTGTGACATAGAAGCAGTTTAATTGCTACTATTTTATTAAGTTGAGTGATACAAAGTTGTCAATACCCAATAGTTTTGGACCAACAATTTAAGAATTCACATTACCTTTGGTCTCAGGTCTTTCCTTATCCCAAATTCCATCCCAATGCTTATCCTTCTAAAATATTTACTCAATATGAGCACAAGAATGCATAATTTGTCTTTGTGTTGACATTTCAAAGGCTGAAGTTGTTGATACATCTCTTTTAAGAAGTTAATGGTGTCTGTTTGAAACTTTCTTAAATAAGGTACAGTTAATGCCAGGGATAAAGGAGAAAGATGTTTTTAATTTTATAAATGCTATTAAGCCTCTGAAAATACTCAAGGATATTTTATCCATGGTATACCATAACTTTACATGCTAGCAGTTCTTCAGTAGTTAAATCTTAATTTGTGGTGTTTTAGTTTAATTTATATCACTTTACATTCAGTGATAACAATTGTACTGCAATTTAACAAAGCTACATGGTTTATTTTCATGTAATGACACATTAATGTTATTTAATCCATGCACTTATATACCTAAACCACAGATTCCACAACTTAACTGGTAATGGGTAGTTACATGGATCAGGAATTTTAACAACATAAGGTTACTTAGCAGTTTCTGTTTTTTACATTAGAAGTCATGATATGGTTATTTGCCATGAGCCCATTACAGTGTAATTGATGCCAAATAAAAGTATAATAATAATTGTATGACTGTTAAAATGTCAAAAAACTTACAAAAACTCCAATGCCAGACTAATTACTAATTATTTTTTAATGTGGAAGTGAATTAGCTAATTCCTCTATGTTGATTTCTACGACTTGACATCTTTATTTTAATTTTGAAAAACTTAATAGGAATAAGTTTGACTTAACAATAGTAAGATATATATTATTAGAGAAAATTGCAGTTTGGGGAAGAGAGTATTACAATAGGATATGATCCAGTGTTTTTCTTATTCCCCAGGAGGCTGCCCGGTTAGAATCCGTATTCGATGTCTGTTGAATGGATTCACAAATGAATCACTGAATGAATGCATAAATGAATGAATGAATGCTAAGATGACTTTTTAAAGGCATGAAATTTGTGAATTGTTATTCCAAGGGCTTGAATACCCACACTGTATTTCCAAGACTTTGCACTGGCCAGCTGACAACACGGTATATAAAGTTAATCTCTCAGCATGTCAGGAAGCCAGACACAGAGATATAAAGGCTTAAGTGGCCTGAGAAAGTCTGGGGCAGGGTAGTTGGTGTCCCTCTGAAATGGCTTGCACTTACCATTCCATAGTGACACAGAGGTCCCAGAGGACTTGTAAGGGTGAGTGGGGCCCCTGGGTTCTCAGAAGTTGTTGGAACCTAGCCCCTCTGCAGGTAGAACATCAGCTAAGGACCCCAAGGAAGCCTCAACTCCACATCAGGATCCCTTGGCAACAGCAGGTGTGAGGCCCCATGCATGGCCCACAGCAAGGGAGCATGGAGGGGATGAGAAGGTACTCTGAGCACAGGAACAGGGACACTAGTGATGAGACCAGGGTGTGGGCAAAGAAGGCTTTTGTTAAGGCCATCCCTGGGTGACACAGTGGACCTAATACACTTGTCTCCTGACTTAAGGTCCTTTTCTGACTTGGGCTTATTTTCTTCCTTTGAATCTCAGGAAGGCCATGAGTTCCAAGTATTTCTCATTCTCCAGCTGTCTTGGGACCAACATCCCTTTCTAAGACCTTTGCAGATCCCATGAGATACAGGACTATGCTTTTTAATTTTTTCCCCCTAAGCCTGAATTAGAGACCACCAAGTCAATCCCAGGTCTTCTGAGGATCTAGAGAGCTGGGATCCATAGTAGAATTCTGGAGGAGAACAGGTATGGACTTGCAAGGGGGTGTCATATTCCTTATCACCCTTTATAGTGCATTTTACCCCTACTGGTCTAGAGATGAGAATCTTATCAGCAGTCTGAGCCATACAGCTTGCCTTCTCCCCAGGGAATGATAAAAATCAATGGTGACCATCTACACAGACAGAGACAAAGTGTTTAGGGATGGTGGCATAAGATTCAAGCCAATACTTTTAATTTTATCTTGGACCTTCACCATGTTAGTGAAAGGTAAATTGGAAACAAAGAAGCATGCAAAGTGATTTGCTCTAACCGGTAGCCAGTCTGCATGATCTAAAGAACTCAAACAATCAAAATTATATCATTGCTACTTAACCAGACTTTCCCTGGTCTTCAGCTACTCACTGGTCCTAGACGCAGGAGAGTCTCATCATATGGCTGGTGCTACGATACGCCACAGGACAGCTCTACTCTAGTGCAGGAGGCTCTGTGTATCCCCATGTGACCAGGGAACAGAAGCTAAGAATCATGGAATGTGGGCTGTACTGTCACAAGGCTTGGCTAATTCTGTAATACATACGAACTTCTCAAGGCCACCAGGGGACTCTTGGAAGCATTAAAGTAGTAACTTCAAACTATTATCATCCTCAAGAGAGTATTTTCATGGTTCTACATAGCAAATTCATTGACTATTTCAAGTCATTTTCTTTTTTTTTTTTTTAAAGATTTTATTTATTTATTTATTTATTAGAGAGCAAGCGAGAGAGAAACAGCATGAGAGGGGAGAGGGTCAGAGGGAGAAGCAGGCTCCCCGCCGAGCCGGGAGCCCAATGTGGGACTCGATCCCAGGACTCCAGGATCATGACCTGAGCTGAAGGCAGTTGCTTAACCAACTGAGCCACCCAGGCGCCCTCAAGTCATTTTCTTAAAATCTCACCATTGGTATTTGCACATTTAGCTTATAAAGTGCTACGTGTTTTTGTGATGAGAAGGGGATGGATTTTTGGATGGGCTGAGAGTACTCATGATTCCTTCAGTGACTGATAAGAATGGCCACGAGCATGTTGGAAGGAATGGAGGCTCTGGAGTCCAGTAGACAGGAACTGCATCTAGGTGCTCTGAAGCATTTATTAGTGTGGGTTCTAGGGCACGTTTCTGACTCCTTGTGAGCCTCAGTTTCAAAACCTGCTTC